CACATGTCTGGGAGGGTTTTGGTGCGGAAGCAGCCTTCTGGGTTGGTGTCGAGGGAGTCTGGGATGCGTTCGACGAGTCCCTTGCGGTCGGTTTCGGTGATGCGGTTGGTCCAGTCTTCCACGGCGCGGATGATGATGTTTTGCCATTGGCGGATGAGTTCGGGTTCGCGGTCGTCCAGGATGTTGGGCTTGAGGTCGGCTTGTTTCCAGCCGAGCTTGTTCATCTTCTTGTAGTATTTCTCCGTCCAGTGGATGATGGCGAGGAGGTTGTCGGCGGGTAGTTCGGGGTCGTTGATCAGCCCGATGAAGAAGTCGTGCATCATCCGGTGGTAGATCTCCGTGTAGGTCTTGTAGATCTTCCATTTTTTCGGCATTAGCGGCTGCATACCTTGCTGCACGGTGTAGAGGTCATTGAAGAACCAGCGGAAGTTCTTGTCGAGGTTGTCCGGCTCGGCCAGGAAGTCCTCCTTGGTGGCTTCGAACTGGTTCTGCGCGTAGAACTCGATAGCTTGCAGGAACTTCTCCTTGTATCCTCGAACCGTCTTCGGTCCTACGTTCATTGATTTGAAGCGATCTGCGAGGTCCTGGTGATCCTTCTGCGCCTCCTGCAACGCCCGCACTGTCTGATCATTCTTCTCCTCGTTCATGACCACAACCGCCAGCCGGACCACCATCCCAGGGTTATCCGACTGCACCAGCGGGATCAAGTTCATGCACGCCGTACCAAGGTGATCATCAAACCAATCAACCACCCCATCCAACCCCTGGAAGTAATCCGCCAGAGTCTCCTCACTACTCGGATCTTGCGCCTTGCGTATCTGATCCATCGCCTCGTCTCTGAAATCGCGCAGCTTCGAAATCTGCATATGAGCCCTTAGCAAATTGGGCTGATTCTCCAGATCCTCATCATCCTCGCGCAGAAGATCCTCAACCGCCGCCAGGTTCTCACTGAACTCCTCCAGCCCCTTCTTCATCGCCAACGTGGCCTCGAAGTTCCTTTGCACCTTGGCCAGCTTGTCAATTTGCGAGAAGTCCTCCACGCTCGTTTGCGACTCCGCGCATAGCTTGTCGATTCCTTGTAGCTCGTCTTTCGTCTTGGACACCTGTCGCTGTCCTTCCGTGAGGGCGTTGATGCTGCGCTGCACGGTCTCCAGTTGGTCGCGCAGACCTTCCCGTAGCTGAGAATCAACAGCCGCTTTCTTGCGCGAGTATTCGGCTTTCAGACCCATGATCTTGTCGAGGTCTTCGGGGTGGCGGAGGATGTCTTCTAGACGGGGCATGGCCACCGTTCCGTTGTCGTCTCGCGCCATGGTTTGTAGCTGTCGCAGTCCCGAAGCTCACGGTATAGTCGTTCAACGAGTCCGTATCACCGCAAGTACAGAGATGAAGCAGACCGGGTATTATCACACCACCAACAAGTATAGTCCAATCAACCGACCGATGGTGGTTAGCTATAGTAACAACTAGACCATAAGCTAGCAGCAATTATCCCCTCCTAAACGCGCAGCGCTCCGGGGTATATCTGCATACCATTCGAATCATTAGCACGATAGCCTCCCCAACATGAAAACGAGAGACAAACTCACCAATGGCTCACCGAGCCAAAGAATGTTCCAAAATGACAATCGTTACAAAGATACACAGCGAATAGGTAAGTAGCATAGCAAGCATACTAAGTAGTAAATGCCACCCGCATTTCCCGCCCGCCAACCCTCCAACCGGCAGAACACATCCACCACGTGACTCCCCGCCCAGCTACGCTACCGCCATCGGGAAATTTGCGGAATCAACAGCAAAAGCATCCCAGCGAGCAGCATTCGCAAGCCCAGAGAACAACTCCACATCCTCCAAACCAGCTGGGTCATTGACCGTCTACGTTACGATCCTCCGAAACCTTCCTACCAAGTACCTCCGAACCAAACAAACAAACCCACAAACCGCCAGAATGAGCAGCTACTTCCGTGTCACGCTCATGCGCTCAGCAATCGGTCTCCCACGCCGCACCAACGACGTCCTAAAAGCCCTCGGCCTGAAGAAGCGCATGGCTACCGTTTTCCACCCCGTGTCGCCGTCCGTGGCGGGTCAAATCATGAAAGTCAAGGAATTGGTGCAGGTGCAGGAAGTCGACCGCCGACTCACGAAGCAAGAGGTGCATCTCGAGCGCAAGCCCGATCCGGGATACTATGTTGAGAAGACCTCGGGGGTGGAGTTTGAGGAGAATAGATTGGCTTGAGTGACATCCATCTCTAGGGAATGAGGTGGACTGTTGGTGTTTTCGATTCGGCTTTTTTGCGGAATGGTTCGTTTTGATTGATTGATTGATTGGTATGCGATTGGAGTCTGGGATTTCAAATTTTATTGTCGAATTTATTGGACATTCCTGCTCATGTGGCGGGGAAGGGATGTGTACTATATGGGATTGAGGAAGTGGGTGAATTTCCACTTAGAGGTGGAGGTGAAGGGAAGTGAACTATTGCATGCATCCAGCGGCTTTCATTTGATCAGATCATGTATCTGAGTCCGGGTTCATATTGCGCAACGATTTTGCATTGTACTATACTACACATATTGTCATATGGAATGGGATCTACATCACCCTAAAAGTTCAAGTCTTAACGTCTGTTTTATAACAATAACTCTCCAGACGAAGCAATACCCAACCTATGCACCATAACACCAATTGTCCGCTATTTGCAATTCCTAGACTTATACGCTTTTCAACCCATATGGACAGTGCGGGCCTTTCTGAACAATCTAAGCTTTGTACAGGGTATCCAGGAAGCCCTCGGCCAGGCGGCTGACAATACTCTTGTCCGGCATGCTGCCGGCCACACCGTACAGGGCTGCAGTGTCTCCACGCTTAACAACATATGCCTTGCCTTGCTGCTTCCTCTCTTCCGCCTTGGCCAACTCCGCCTCCACAGCCACGACCAGGTCGGTGGTAAGTGCATCCACAGCAGCGGCCGTGGGGACGGTGAACGCGACATGGATCGCCGGGGGCGATTGAAGCGCATTGAGATGCCAGCCCTTGGCAGAAAGGCTGTCCGCAATATCGTAAATATCAACGGCATCATTCTTGCTGTAGAACGCAACAACGCTGACCATGGGCTTTCCCACGATGTCCAAGCTCTTCGACAGAACTGAGTGCTCTTTGATGGAGGATTCGAACTTCTTGGCGGCGCCCATGATGTCCAAGCAGCTCTTGATGTAGCCAGACTCGCCAACACTCATCAAACTGGCCCAACATCCGGCAATCAGGGCACCAGGACGGGAACCCGCGACAGATGGGGATGCATAAACACCACCGGACCAGTCTGGGTAGATGAAGTATTGGTAGCTGCGGTAGGCCTTGTTGCGATACAAGAGCACCGAGTTACCCTTGGGTGCAAATCCATACTTGTGTGTGTCCACACTGATGCTAGTCACTCCGGGAAGGCGGAAATCAAAGCCACCTTCCTCTTCATAGGGTGACGCAAAGCCTGCCTTCTTCAGAAAGGCAACAACAAAGGAACCAAGGCAGCAGTCAACATGCAGAGGGATCTTGTAAGACGTCGCGAGACGAGACAGAGCTGGGATGTCATCAACAATTCCATGAGGGAAGTTGGGTGCCGAGCCAACAATCAAGACAGTGTTCGAGTTAATCAGGCGACGCACGGAGGGAATGTCCACCTTGTACTCGGGAGCCGGGCAGGGAACACGATGGAGCTTGATCTTGAAGTAGTTGCAGGCTTTGATGAAGGCAGCATGAGCAGTATCAGGAATGATCCTACGGGCGTGTCAGTAGATAAGCAGGGTATGTATAGGAGTAGCCACCCACATTTCCGGTTCCTTTACGCCACGCTCGAGGAAAGCCTTCTGGCGCGCACCCAAGCATGCCATGATGATCGACTCCGTACCGCCACTTGTAGTGACACCCGCGCCATCGGACGGGGCATTGAACAACGCCAGAACCTAAATCAAGTAAGCCACAGACTCGTGAATTTCCCGGGAAGTCATTACCATAGCTACGACTTCGGCTTCCATCTTCCGAACACCAGGGAACACATCAGGATGGATGGGGTTGGCAACACCAAACTGTCCGAACGCTTCTGCCTGCAGCTTCAACAGGTCCTGGCCACCGTGATAGACAGCACCACTGACACGGCCATCTTCCCAGCGTGTATGTTCCATATTCGCCAGCTTGTCGAGCTCAGCGCGAACCTGTTCCGCGGTCCATCCTTCCTTGGGAAGATTCAGATACCGATTAACACCAGGCCCAGACGCGACGAGTTTCGATTCGAGATTCTCAATAGCGGTGGAAACCTGCTTATCAACCTGGCCGCGGACGCCGGGGAATCGCAGAAAGACGGAATAGAAGAAGAGACGGACGGCGGCGTAGGCATTACGGATGCTGCCGAAGATGCCATAACCGCGCAATGAATAGAATGTCTTGCGAACGTAGCGAAGGATAAAGAGGACAAAAACGATATTTCGAAGACTAATCGCCCGGTGATTAACAGATTAGTACATAGCTCCAGGAAACAAACGTCAGACGAGCGAGCGATCGTCCGCCGTTACGCGGGGATAATGTTAAGCTGCTCGGCCACTCACAAGTCCAGATGTGCCGCCGCCAGTTGGGTGCTGGGGGCCCTGCTGTAGCCCAGCAATTTATTCTGCAGGGCGACGGGAAGTAAAGAAGATGCCATAGTTGTAGGCAATAGAAATAAAGCCGGGTCGGGGTAAGGGCACGACGACCTCCAGACTGAGGGAGAAGAGAAAGACTGGGGAAGTGAAGGAAGGTCGATGGGGTCGGATGATGCAGGAAACCGGAGCCGGGGGCGATAAGAACGACTTGACTGGCCGCGGACGGGCAGTCGGGAAACTGCCTCGGTTCCCGCATGCGCTTCTCCTCATGACAATCTAGTCTAGTACTAGATTTGACACTCCGAATGGATTCACATCCCCCCTTTGCTTCTGTTACACCAATCAATTCCAATTAATCTTACTAGATATATTGCAGCCACACTTTTAACTTTGGTATATCCTGTATTATGTAGGATAGATGCATATGGCATCGAAATTCTGCGTATGTACACGGTCCCACGCGAGGACCAAGGGCTGTCCTAACACCGGCCCCCCCTCCCTTTTTTCCATCAGAGACAAGGAACAACTTTTGAAAACCCCGTGGAAATCAAAGAAACCATCCTGAGAACACATAAACATCCATTCATGAAACCAGCAAACGCAAAACAAGAACGTCCTCCGCCAAGGGAGCCGCTAAAAGAGTAAGAAAATAGAAAACATCGAAGCTCTAATAAGGATATAGACGTCTATCCCAGTCGGAATAAATGCATAATTAGAAGAAAAGCCAACGTCGGAGACCACTTTCGATCCCATACTTAGGCAGAAGCCTGAGCGGCAAGCTCCTTCTCCTTGGCAGCGAACTGAGCCTGCTCGTCGGCCGTGAGGTCCAGGAGGGGCTTGTTCTCGCCCAGCTTGAGGTTGCGGTAGTAGGCACGGATGATACTGTCGGCATCATCGACAGCAATGGGGCGGATATCGGCCAGAGCCTTGATCTTGGCCGTGCACTCCTTGTACTGGTCATCGGTCATCTCGATCTTGAGCTGCTGGGCACGCGACTTGATGGCGTTCCAGCCGGTCAGACGAGAAGCGAAGTGGACATAACGAGACATGCCGAAGTCGGCGGGGTTGATAATCTCGTAGGTGCTGGGGTTGTTGAGGATGGCCTTGGCGTGGATACCGGCCTTGTGGGTGAAAGCGCAGAAACCGGTGATGTAGTTGTTGAAGGGGATGTTGACCTCAACGGCCTCGGCAACAAGGTCCTCGATATCCTTGAGCTTCTCCAGCCTGTACTTGCCCTTGACGTACTCGGGGTCGGCAACCATCATGCGGGCCATGAGACCACCGAGGGGAGTGATACCGTTACGCTCACCGATACCAAGGACGGAGGTATCGATGTGAGTGGCACCAGCCTCCAGGGCACAGTAAGCGTTGGCAATAGCACAACCAGTGTCGTTGTGGAAGTGGGTCTCGATGTCACAGCTGACAACACCTCTCAGGACACGGACGAGCTCGTAGACCTGACGGGGGGAAGCGCAGCCGACGGTATCGGCGATACCGACACGGTTAACACCGACCTTGTCGACGGCCGAGTAGATGGACAGGAGGTCGACGAGATCAGAGCGGAAAGAGTCCTCACTGGAGAAACGGATCTCAATACCCTTGGACTTGACGAATTCGATGACTTCGATGGCGGTGTTCTTGATGTAGGTCATGTCCTTGCCGTGGGAGTGCTCACGGAGGTAAGAGGAGGTTCCAATAACAACATCACTGTCCGAAATTGTTAGCAGTCGAACATGGAATATGCAGGACAATCAGCACTTACACTCCATCGACACCGGTCTCGACGGCAATGCGAGCATCGTCCATGTGGCAACGGATGTGGGTCAGGATCTGATTCGAACATTAGCCGGATGACGCACAACACGCGGTAGACAGGTATAACATACCTTAGCCTTGAGGCCAAGCTTGCAAATGGCCTCACAGTCCTTTCTCGACTGCTCGGAAGCGCAAGGGCTGGTGAGCTCAATCTAGAGTGGTGGTCAGTGCACGCTCTCTCCGGTATTGTGAAGATCCACCGGGGTATGACTCACGTAGTCAACACCGAATTCATCGAGGGCCTTGGCGATTTCAATCTTCTTCTCAGTGTCGAAGAAAGCGTTGGCGAACTGTTCACCCTCACGCAGGGTACTCTCGATAATCTGGAAGCGAGAGACGTTGCTCAGGAAGTCGGTGACACCGACGTTGTGGCCATAGGGGTTCCGAGAGACGGAGGGGTGGGGGTTCTGGCGAGTCTCGACGGCAGTGAAGCCGGGGTGTTCACCTGAAGGGTATTGATTAGTATAGGCACTTACAATTCATCTGTTTGAAAGCTAGAAACATACCGTTGCGGCCATTGGCAGCGTTGGCCTGCCCATTGGGCTCGTGGTCTGCACCGGGGCACATTGTGAAAGACTTGATGGTGGGGTAGCACGCAGATAGATCGGTAGTATATAGTTAAGACGGCAGATGGCTCTAGTGAGGTTGATGGTCAGTATTGAGCAACCAGCGTTGAATGAGAGCAAAGCAAGATAGATATAGGAAGAAGACTAACAAGCGAGGCTAGCGAATGAGTCACAGATGGATTTAAATGTAGAGACGTTGTTGAGGGAGGCAGGGAAGAGTCATAGGTTGCCAGGAGAAAGAGAAAAGTGGGCGGAGATTAAAAAAAGCCGGGCGGTCAGCGCAATGATGATTCGCGGGCAATGCAACTGGAGACTCCTCGGCCGGTCCCTCCCTTCTGCTCTTCTTTCTGCGGCAACGACGAAATTTTCACCCTCTTTTTTCGCCTGCTGGAAATGGCTCACACTCCCTCTTGTGGGGAACCTGGACCGTGAACTGCGCATCCGGCGGCCCCAATTGCTCAGCGTGAGGATCATTCCCCAGTCTCCAACAGGGTCAACCAATGTCCTGTAGTCATTTCCATTATTAAGGTCTACTCCATGCTTTGCCTACAGGCTGCCTTGGGGCGCTATTCATGGGCGGTGACGGGCTACGTGGATTTGCCACTGAAAGAGTATGCGAGTATGCCAGCGACAACGAATGTGCCATTCTTGGTACAGGTGGCTGAGGTGGAAGTGCATTTTGCTGGTAGATCTTCGTTTATCCATCCTATCGCTGCTACCGAGGGCTTTTAGCCTTTTTCAAATCCCAGTCAGAAGGGTTTGTGTCTAGGGTTCACCACCCCCTGCTAGTGAACACTTGGGTTTAGTTCAACCCGACATCGGCAGGGGGGCATTTCTCGGATAGATGATAGCGTCTTCAATGGCTCGCGTCGAGATGCCAACGATTGATAATCGCCTTTCCACTTCGACCGTGGAACCATTATCATTGGATGATTTCGATTAGCAGTCTCCAAGTGTCCTGGCAACCGTATCTGAAGGGCTGCGTAACTTGAATCATAACGTTGACTAAGGTTGGAGAACGGCCCTCCTGAGGCCGTTGCTAGGACTTGCTACACTTTCTTCCCCATTCAGGACTTGAGTCACATCCAGTACGTCACCGGTGGCCGATACCGCCCCTCTATTTTCATTTCCTGGCTTTTCGTTGGTCGGCCTGGATTACGTCAGGTATTTTCTCGCCCGATAGAGTAATATGCTGCTGATCCCTGCACCACTGCTTGCGTTAGTCCCTATTCGGTATAGACTGCTCTGGCCAGGCCTTTATCCGTCAAGTCCGTCTGATGCATTATTCCCAATTGGGGTGGTTGTAGCTTTCTCATAATCCAGTGCTAATGCTGAACGGAGTACTTATGCCTGCATTTATTGCAGAGCTGCAGCGGCACTATTATCAAGCATGCAATAGATAGAGACCTCTGGCATCGACATCACATTCCAACGCCGCATCCCAATAGCCTAGTATTCTGTATATGGGTGACTGTACTAAGGATACTAAAAATAACAGCATAATACTCGCTATGTTCGTTGCTGCCACTATATATGTTCCTGTTAGAACACATTCGCTTTTCATGCAGGCCAAATGATAGGCTCTCTTCCGTACAAAGGTGTCAAAAGAATTCAAAATGAATGTACCTGGCCGTAGTTTGAAAAGTGGTTTGATTTATGACCCGTCAAAATCCTTTATTTAGTTCAGTCTTTACTTTTGATAACAGAACTAAGAGACATACTCTCTACTATTCTATATTGGATTCGCCGCAAACAGGTGATCACAACAATGGGCTAGACAATCGTAACGGGTTACAAGCCCGAATATACACATATCACATCTATAGGCTCTCTCGAGACTGTTATGTCTCTTAAAGAGCTCGGCTCTCACAATCCCACATTACAAGATCTAAGTGGAGCGTACATTGTCACCATAACAGGACACTCTCTTACAGTTTGCATATATACTGATTCTGGAAGATTAGCTAGAGCTCAGAAAAATATTCGGACAGCGTGGAACACATATGTTTCTTGAATATAACGAAGACATCTAGGCGTTGTATCTTAGTAAGCTTCAAACCTCTATCCATTTACGCGAGTATTTTACGAGAGATGCGTTACCGTCGAACAAGACATCCTGAATGCAACTGTATTTCTGTCAGTTTTTTACAGTATCTAGGTTTGGTAGCAGTAAGTATTTCTACTACAAGGCCGTTATGAGTACCTCTACCAGGTAGTGAAACACCTGGAAAATCATATAAACCCCGGCATGATTGATACTTATTCATTGCCGCTAAAAAGTTCTCATGTAAAAGGTCCATGCTCTGTTTGAAGAACTCTCATCGGCCATCTCATCGGCCGTCAAACATCCGGAAATGAGGATACAGTCCATTTTGGCAGACAGATTCGATGCAGTGGTGAATCATGACAAAAGAGACATTAACAAATATATGGACATCTTGCATCGGAAGAGGGTCTGTAACAGGAACTGACAAACGCTCAATTTTCTGCTATAGAAGTGAGAGTGAAGTGTCCTATAGAAGTTTCATCACGACCAAGTTGATTGCATAATTGCTCGACCATGAATTAGAAGCACCGACAGATTGTGGAATGTATTAACAAGAGGAGATTTATCACACCTTCAAGGTATCGTACCACAATTTCTAAAGAATGTGCCAAAGAATCAGAAAGGAACCCTAGGTGATACGAGGTTTTCTCGAACTTTGTGAATATTTCTAGCAAATGATTAGGAAAGCCATAGAGAGCTTACTGCTGAAATAGCCATCTCCTTGTTGCAAATACACAAGATCAAGCACGAGCATACCGGGGCGGACCAAGTAGAAAATTGACTATTTCATTTACTGGCTTATATATGTCCAGATACATTCCGGACTGATGAAGAAAACATGACACCTGATCACCATAGCATCAATGGCAAAATACAGCGAAGCCGGGGGAGAAAGTTGCTCAAGATAAAATAATAGACAAAAGATGGAGATAAAGGATGACGCCGTTGGGTAAAGGAGACACTAGTGGTACATATCTACCTCTGCAAGGCAGAGTGGACAAAGTATCGTGTTGGAAACGAAGATTTTGGACTGTCGAATATGACTGTAAGAAAAGCGTTAAATTTATGATTGTTACTATTGAATGTTGTCTAGGATCATATAGAGATTACAACTGGGAAGAACTCTTTTATCTATGGATATAAGGATATCTTCTCGGCAGGGAGACAAGTCTAGTGCAATCAATCTCAATGTTTGATGCTCATAATGGTTATAAGATCTAATCAGTAGCCAGGTTTAAAAAGATTCATCTACTTTGAGAGAACTAACAAGGTTTTGGCAGGTTCTGGAAAGAAGGACGTGAAAGGGATCATCACAGTGCCAAAGGAGGCCATCTAGATTAGTGACAATAGTATTGACAAACCCTTGCTTTAATGGCTCGGACGCCAGATACACGCTGCTCTATTACGTAGCTAACAGAGCCCGGATATGTTAGACTCTGAACAGGGTTCAACAATGGAAGACAGTCTGGGTCAATCACTAAAGTATATGTGAAGATAGCAGATAGCAATTCAAGTTCTGCAAGACACTTCCCTGAGTTGTCGCATCATGCTCTTATCAACCTACTTTTATTCTTTCCAAATTGTATACCCCGTTTCGAGTACTAAAGCTGTGTCCAAGTGTCAAAAGTAGACATAGTAGCCTTGAAGAGTTGCACAATCATTCTACTATGCAGGTAGAGTAGCTGCGTTGAATCCTCTCATCCATGGGCCGCTAGTATCGGTTTACTCTTCCGTCCAGCACCTAGAACAATTGAAAGAAATCGACCGTTGATTTGATGTGTCGAAATTTGTCTTTACTTTTCAAGATTATAGAGGGGTATATCCCATGGCAAGGACTGAAAACAGCCTCAGGACTGACTATCGGTGGGTTTGTGAGAATTGACGCTGAGCTGACTGGCAGTTGATGTTGCATATATTTCTGTTCAAACAGGGCTCTTTTAGTACTATTTCATGAAGGGATACAGGATGACTTAGAAGATGTGTACATGTCTCTTCAGAAACAGGTAGGCTTCTATTGAGGATCTGATAGCCTTCCGTCTGTAGCAACTAACGTAGAACAAACAGGAATGGGGTAGAGTCAGCCAAATGAAATAGCTAGTCTTACGCAGAGAAACAGCACTAAATCAAAGGCGAAGCCAACAGAATGTTTCTTTCTAATCTTCATGACTCATTCAAATCCAAGTACACTATCCCACCGGCTCAGGTGGCACATCTTCGATAGCAGAGATGTGTTTCACGTCTAATACAGATATTCATTCGAATTAGATGGCATATTAATTACTACATCTAGTAATACATGCGAGCCATTACTCAACTTCTCATCTTGCACAATTAGTGGATTTAAAGGCGTGTTTGCCATCATTGCGAGGACGATAAACTAGGCCCCGGCCCTCTGGGACGAATTAGGGCTGATACAGATCCAACGGACAAATCCTTCACCTGAGCTCTCTAAAGAGCTTTTATGTCGGTGAGGCGCTCTCTGAGGACCCGGCTTTGCTTGGTGTCTTGTTGTCCCAGTTGCAACTCACACTACTAGGACTTATCCCACTATTTTCGGGCCAAAATTCTGCCATCTCAGTATCCGATAATTTGGGAAATATGATCATCCCTTCCGACGGGGCGGGAAGGATCCCCAAGACATCGTGCTCTAGACTAGTATAAACTAGATTGACTGTGGCATTGTAATGTCAGCCAAACGTGGTTGTGGCGCTTGCTGGGGGAAATAAAATGCGACTTTTGGTCTCTTTCCGGGTGGGATGGGGAGTGATTTTCTATAAGTGTAGACATACTTCGATTTCTTATTGGTGCAGAAACTCTTTCTGAAGGTCAAGCTGGTAGGCTAACAATTAGTATAGACACAGTAAGACGTCTGTCATCCACCCAAGGCATGTAGATCCACTCCTTCGGTCATGCCACATGGGGTATTTGAGATGTTGACTATACATTCGTCTTGCTTGCAAGCGGTCTGGAATCCTCTGTGCTTACTAGTTACCCAAGCGTCCCCACTTTTACTGAAATCGATGAAACATACACTTGGAAGTTTTAGTGTCTTGGAAGCTTTGGGGTCTGTGTTCGTTGTGGCGACCTCTGGAGTCGTACGCTACTATGTTTTGCCGGGTTCTATATTCAGCCCCCACGGTTCACTTTGGCGGCCTGTCAGACTGTTCATGTCAGGATACATCGGTTGAGGGAAGCTTTGATGGAAAGTGTCTATTGAATGCTACGACGTCCGCCGTAGGTGAACAGGGAGATGGTCGTTCGGGTGATGGATCTAACGACCTGGACAGGAAGGTGTGAAGTTGTAGAAAACTCGACCAAGTCATTGTGGTCCCCTGATCCAGACTATCCAAAAATTACATGATATAGCACTCTATGGCACCCTCTACATGCGCGTACCCGATTTCTATCTATCAATAAATCTGGATCATCAGCAACCTTAAATCTGATAGACTGAATGTTCATCCGTAGTCCCCGTACCTACTGCTGTCAGTGACTTCGAATACATTATATTCGCAAAGTTCACAACATAGTATAAAAAACTAATAAGTATCTAATACAGAATAATAACAAAGGCATTACGTATCAGTACTGTGCGAATACAGGTTGCGCTAAAGAATATTCGTTTATTGCACCTGCATCATCCAGAATAAGAATGTTACACAAAGGGATGTGTAGGTTACATAAGCAACCAGGGTACGAGACTCCATAGAAACAAAGGTTTCACTGCAAGCTATTAGTCCACCCATTGCTGCTACAAGCCAAGGCGCTTGACGCCCAACGAGAGCCAAACAAGCCCAGCTGTTTCTCGAGGGGCAAAGAGCGCTGACAACTTCGGTTCTGACCGCGTTTATCCGAGCTATTATCACATCACCGGGTGTAACGGCGGAAACCTAGCTGAGACAACTATCTAGGCATCGATACCGATGGCTGTTACCTTTATTTAGAATCATCTGGGTGCGTCTTACTCTACAGGACGGTGTATCGGCCCGACCAGAGAGGTCTCGAGGAACAAGAGTTCACGGACATGAGTTCATCCCGTAGTGCGTTCAAAGGACACAAGCAAGTAGTCAAGTACATGAATGACCTCGCTGACTGATAAGCTTAGGTTGATGGAATCTACAGACAATTCGCTGCCATACTCACAAGCACTTCCGTCCCGAGGGATCAAGGAATCATGCACGGATGCGGGCAGGAAACGCCTCGTAATCAGGTCAATTGCCGACATGCGAGGACAATCTGCACACGTGGCTGCTGACGAAGGCGAGCATCAGAGGGGACACGAAGATGAAGGAGAATAGCAGAAGAAGGGGGATTCTAATCCGTTGCCCCGGAACCCCGGACACTCCCACTTACCCACCGCGGAGCCGGGTACTCCCACCGCTTAGGGGAACATTGATAATGGGGATATCCCACCGCCGGGCTGATTAAGGGGTTCTAGATGCTCCGATGCTCCTGCTGCGCCTACAGAGGGAGCATGGGATCGACCGGGCAATCCCACCTGCAGAAGAAAATGCCCGCGGGTGCTCCCACTGGCTGGGCTGTGTTTGCTTAACTCGGCCGGAACCTCCCACAGCGAAGCTGACATCAGATCAAATGCCCACTCGGACTGTCCCACCGAGGATGGGAGTGGTCGATTGGATTGTTCGCTTAACTAGTGTGAACATGAGTGCTGCGTACTGAAGCTGACCTCAGATCGATCGGGGACGCCCACTGCTCCCAGTCCGGGTCCAAGACCTGGTGAAGAATATGCGCTTGGACCCCCAACAAAGCGAACGGCTAAAGAGCTGGCACCAGATCCACCACCAGTGGGAGGAGTGGGATTAAAATCCTCCGGACGCTCCCATGCCTCGATCCTTCCCGGGGTTGGAATAGGGATCCATTTTCCCGTTGTGATTGCTCGCCATTCCTCGCAATATCACATCCCAAAGTGTTTATGGACCCCTCTTACTCACGACCCGACGCACTCCAGGATTTTTAGGGTGATCTCACGTACAGTCTTTCTTGATGCGCGGCAGTAATTCTAGAACCATCCCAAAAATGGCATAGGAAAATCAGGACTGGCGTTGCAACAAATTTAGCCATGATCACCGGCATCTACTGCTTGGACCGTTTGCTAGGTACCGCGCCGAAGAAATTTTCAGCAGAATCTAACCTTTACATGGGTAAAAAAAAATAAAAGGGGTAAATTTGTGGGAATCTGGTACGATTCGGACTTGAGCTGTCACCAAGCCAACTGTCGTTCTTGGCTACTATCCGTATCCATGGTAGTCTCACAACTAGTCGAACGTTTTAAGAGAACCCGTCTGATCCTCGCGTATTGTCCGTCAAGAAAACTGGACTCCGTTCTATTGCCATGTGAGCACTAAAAACTACGGGGTGTTTCAATTCATCACCGAATCAAATTTCGCACCCAGAGAACCAATTTCGCCCCTTGCAAAAGTTCATGTTTTACGCAACTGGGTGTCGTCAGATAGGTTAGCATCGGCCCAAGTTCGCTCCATACAGGATGCATTCAGACCCACGACAGACAGCAGCCATCCTGTCACTCACGTGGGAAATTACCAGGGGCCCTGCCATGCAAGGTGAGATCCCACGAGGATTTGCCTGGACGCCACGCGGAGAATTGAGGTGCTCTTCCTTTCTGCAGACCCACTGGTCTGAAGGATGGTGGGGGAGGGGACATCGTAAAAGCTCTTGGCTCTACCGGCTGGACCCATGATGCCATCGTCGCCATGGTCGTTCGGCATTGGAATGGCGCCGCATGTCAAAGCTTCTCGCCTTCTCCCATGGGTCGTAGATTGGAGGCAATCAATTCTACCTGGTGCCCCTTCACTCAACCGGCTATTCGAGGCTCGGTTTTCTTCTTCGTATAACTAATCTGACCTGCAGTTGTACATGTCTGGGCAGGCAGGTAGGAAGGCACTGAAATTAGTACCTCGTAGTAGTCGTTGCAATGGCGGCGAAAGTCAGAAGGAACAGCCCATCCGTCCATTCATCCAGCCATCAGCCAATTACCCAACTAGTTACCCAATCGGCCAGTGAGCCTACTGCATGGTGTTAGCGACTTTCGGTGCTTCAGCCTCCATCTGTCTATCTTTTGGCCCCAATCCCTCGACGCCATGCTAGAGCATATATAATACTATAGAACAAACCCGCAACCTCATCCGGAGAGAAAGTTCCATGGAATGTTGAACAACCGGATCCTAACCACTTGTCAAACTTCCCAGCAAGCCAGCAAGATTGCACTGCATATTATGGCTGCAGCCACCAAAATCCGTAAGCCCAGCTGTTTTTTCTTGCTTGTGCTTTTCTGCTGTGCGCAACATCCCGGCTCTCATACTCACATTCCCTGCTTCCTATTTCAGCCGCACGAAGCCTCAATGGTTGCTGGACATGTCGTGTACGCCGGAAAAAATGTGATGAGACTCGCCCAACATGCAGCCGATGCATTTCCTTGGATCTCGAGTGTCACGGATACGGTCCGAGGCCGTACTGGATGGACAATGGGGCCCTGCAGAATGAGCAAGCCTCGAAATTCCGGCAGATGGTTAGTCAAGCCCGGTCAAGGAAGAGAAGACAGAAGCTCCTTCTGTCCACTCGCCCAGCAGCCCGCGGTAAGGGTCTCCATCTACAGATGTCAAACAAAGGACCCGCACTAAGATCGATTACTCTAGTCTATCCTTTCTTTAATGTAGCCCAAGACGAAATGCAGGGTCTAACCCGAGACAGTAATGCGGCTGCCCTGAATAATAGTACGCTGGCGTGCAGCACCATGCCTCTCAATCAGCTCCCCACCCCTGGAGGCACCTCGGTCTTCCCTGAGGAGGACTATGCCACGTTCTCCAAGCAGTTGGAATGGTCGCAGAACCCTTCGTCTCCCTCCTCGTCTGTAGAAGGTCTCCTCACCCCAAACGTGCTGGAAATGCAAGAGCCCGGGATTGCATGGGGTGATATGGTGACATCGGACGATTTTGGCTTGGCCTTGAGTAAAACCGCCCTGTCGGATCTGGATGACTTTATGTGGAGCGCATCCCTGGATAGTCCCCACATACAGAAAGACCCTACTTTGTCTCCTGATCCGACAAACCTGCAACCGACGTCGGGAATGCATATGCTTGCAGCTGCAACCTGCGGACAGACCATCTCGTGGCCCATGACCCCTGTTGACCCAATTTCGGGAAGCAAGTCCGAGGATGAGTTACTGATGCACTACTTGGACCGGGTCTTCTACATCCAGTATCCGTTCTACCATACCCAAGACCGACAAGGAAGAGGCTGGCTTCTCTCACTTTTGCGGCGCATCGAGCCCGCATACTATGCCAGCCTGGCTCTCAGTGAGCTCGACTTGCTCTCGACGTCGCTTCCTCAAAGTGAGCTCCCGGCACGACTGACGCAGCTACGTACCAAAGATGGCTATTACGACCTAGCCCTTCAGGGAATGCAGTGCATCATGGCTGACTCGTTCAGCTGGAATGCACAGAGTCAATTTACGCGCAATCTCGAGGGACTCGTTTCAATACTTCAGCTTTTGTATTGGGAGGTAAATGGTCCATCCTGATGATGCGGTGCGATTGAAGATACTGACTTTGCTCGTTCAGATACTTGCTGGCGGAACCAAGAACTGGCAATGGCTTCTTCGGCTGGCCGGCAATCTGATGCCTGCATTCATACAGATGCAGATGTCTTCTACAATTCATGACGCATCTGGTCAGGTCTGCCCAAGTTTACCGCTGGACAATCAGAGCCCGTCCTCCGAAGACGACTGTACTGCGAAACTCCTCCTTGGCTCTTTTGTGTCGTTGGATATAATCGCTTCTGCTTCTACCCGGCGTGCTCCCTTTCTGGAAATTGATCATGTGCAGATGTTAGACCATTTCGGGATTTCTCTAGAAATTCTAATGGGGTGTCGGAACTCAATCATGGCCCTAATCTCAGAGGTTTCCGCGCTGGATCGATGGAAGAAAGAGGCCGAGGCGGCTCGTAAGCTCAGCATCATTGAATTAGCACAGCGTGGTGGGCAATTGGAGGAGCACCTACGACGGGAACTCGCCGATCTCGAGCAAGTGTCCGCTCCAGGGTCACTATCAGCATGGGGTTCCTCTGCCACCCCGGGTGGTTCCCGGGCTCACCGCAGCATTAACAAGGCGTTTGGGCTCGGAGCCATCGCCTATCTCCACGTTGTGCTATCCGGGGCTCATCCCGAGCTGCCGGAGATTGCGCAAACTGTTTCCGAAGCCATTATTGTGTTCCAGATGCTTCGCGATCAGCGACTCCTGTCGAGTGTGGTGTGGCCATTTTGCATCGTAGGCTGCTTAGCGCAGCCCGATCAACGGCCTTCATTCCGGGAGCTCTTCACGACGGCGGAGGCCACAGTCGGAACACTGGCAGAGGCGTCTCGAGTAATGGAGGAGTGTTGGCAGGCAAGGAAAGGTCGGACATCAGATTGCGATTGGGTTTCGGTGATGAATGAGCGCGGAGATTATGTGCTGCTTCGATAGAGCGAAAAGTACCATACCCACATAGAGAGATGCGATTATGAGTCACGATAGAATAATGATCATAATAATGAAATAGAATTACATTTCCCCAAAAGTCTCAAAACATTTCAAGTCCCTAGATTGAGAGGACCTCCGAGGGATTATGTAGAGTATATGCTGCAATCATTGGCCAACAACCTCCTTCTCCTTGAACCACTATGTTTATGGTTAGCTATGAATTCCTCCCACTATGCTTAACAATCACCCGGAGCTATACACCCCAGACATCTCTGCAGCATCTATTAGGAATAAAGTGAGGGATGATCCGACCATCGATCTATTTCTCTAATTCCCTCTTCCCAACCTCACGTAATTGATTGGTGAGATGCTGTTGGTGGGCGCCGGCGGTAGAGCTAAAAGCTGCAGGAATCACGACTTGGGCGCCGTGACTAATATCGGGCGGCATTATTGCCTACAAGTCAACTCAATTACGAACTAAAGCAAACTAAAAATCTATCCCACGGGGCTAGAATAAGCTGCAGCCCGCTTAGGAATGAGTGTGTCTGATTACTCCGACCCTGCAGGCCAGTGGGAGAGACCGTGGGCCTGACTGAAATTTGGTGAGACATTAAGGGCTGGTGGGAGGCCCCGGCCCTAAAGGATTGCAAAGGATTGGCGGTTCTGGCTGGTGGGAGAGTCCGGGCTGCTGCGATGGATTATCTTTCTTTTATATACCCTGATGGACTGTTATTCTCTTGAAAATGATTTTGAAGAGTGATGAGTACAGTGGTTCCTTAGACAAGTGTTTTTGTTGACCCTTTTACCTTCTTCTGTCCCTCCCAATGGCTGTCGACGCCACGATGAACCACCCTTCTTTGGAAAAGGAAGAGGGCCAACTCTCTGAAAAATCCGCTGCTTCCAACTTGGACTCGGAGGACCAGCAGATGGATGCTCCTAAGGAAGATGAAGCTCCTCCGCGCGACATTACAGGCTGGAAATGGGCCATTGTCGTGGCGGCCATCTACAGTTCGCAGTTCCTCTTTGCCCTGGACAACACTATCGTCGCCAACGTCCAACCCACTATCGTCGAGGACTTCAACGCCGTCTCCAAGCTGTCATGGATCAGTGTAGCCTTCCTGATCGGCGCTGCTTCGACCAACCTCGTCTGGGGTAAGATCTTTGCCCAGTTCAACGCCAAATGGACCTACATCATCTGCATCGCCATCTTCGAAATCGGGTCCGCCGTCTGTGGCTCCGCACCCACCATGAATGCCTTCATTGTCGGTCGTGCCATCTGTGGCTTCTCCGGTGCTGGCATGTACGTCGGTCTGATGACCATGCTGGCCGTGACCACCTCCATACAAGAGCGTCCTACGTATGTCGGTGGCGCCGGTTTTACCTGGGGTGTGGGCACCGTTCTGGGTCCCATCATCGGAGGTGCCTTCACTGACTCTTCTGCTGGCTGGCGCTGGTCTTTCTACATCAACTTGTGCATCGGTGCGATTTGCGCCCCTGTCTACCTTTTCATGCTCCCCAACAAGGACCCCCGGCCCGGTGTCAGCCTGGGAGCCCGTGCCCGCGAGATCGACTATCTGGGTGGTATCCTGACCATTGGCGCCTTCATCTCCGGTGTCATGGCTATTTCCTTTGGTGGTGCGACTTATCCCTGGAACTCAGCCAAGATCATCGGTCTGTTCTGCTGCTCGGGTGTGCTCTTCATCCTGCTCGGTATCCAGCAGGGCATTCCTGTCCTCACCACCAAGGAACGCCGTCTATTCCCCGTCGAGTTCCTCCGCAGTCGCACCATCCTCATCCTATTCGCCATGACTGCTTCCGGCGGTACCCTCATCTTCCTTCCCGTCTACATGTGCCCGCTCTTCTTCCAGTTCACGCGCGGTGACTCTGCCCTGGAGTCGGGTGTCCGGCTGCTCCCCTTCATTATTCTGATGATCGTGGCAGTCATTGGCAACGGCGCTATCCTCTCTACCCACGGACTGTACATGCCGTGGTTCTTGGCTGGCGGTATTCTCTGCTTGATTGGTAGCGCGCTGATGTACACCGTGGGTCTCACGACCTCAGTCGCCCACATCTACGGCTACACGGTGCTGATTGGGTTTGGAGTGGGCTTGTTCTCGCAGGCTTCGTTCTCCATTGCACAGGCTGTGGCCGAGCCACATATGGCATCGTCGGCGGTAGGTTTTATTACCTGTGCGCAGATCTCTGGGTGTACGATCGCTCTGGCCATCGCCAATGCACTGTTCCTGAACAAGAGTGTGGAGGGCATCAAGGCCGTTTTGCCCAATGTATCCTCGTCCGAGGTCGAGTTGGCCATTACAGGTACTGGGTCTCAGTTGTTTGACGGACTTAGTGAGGAAACGAAGAATAAGGTGTTGGAGGCGATTGTCAGGGCATTGAACAACTCGTACATTCTGTCAATGGTGGCGGCGGCGCTGGTGGTGGTGCTGAGTGTGTTCATGAAGCGCGAGAAGCTGTTCATTGCTGGAGGTGCTGGAGGTGTCTAGATGAAGCTTGAGAGGTAAAATGGGAATATGGGGAAGTATAGCTAAAGCAGACTTCTGATGGATGCAGATAGATGCATTATTCTACTTAGATTTGGGGACCATCTCCCTCTCTGGGTTATAGATAGTATACGAGTTGGGATACATACACATCCTGGCATGTTTAATGACGACTTTTCTTGAGATCAAATCCACTCCATCCTAACATGTCTACACCCATGACCACGTAGAAGAGCCACCACAGCACCTCTGGTTTCAGCCACGCCATGATCCCAACGAGTCAGATAAAGACGTATTCACGCCCCAGTCATGTCGTCACCACTGACAAATGCCACCCTGCATTTTAGCTCTACCGCCCAAACCCATGCCTTGCCGCGCTCTGGAAGGATTGCTTAGCCTTACCGTCCACCACCTCCCAGCCAGCCCGATGCCCATCACTGGCCCTCGCAAAACCGTTTAGCCCAACCGCCGAAGCTAATGCACGGCGGGGGGCCTCGTGGCAAACTGCCGAGTATGTGTCAGACTGCAGGATTGCAGGATGGGCGCATCGCGGTTTCTCGAAGCCCTCTGACCCACCAGATACGAGAGCAGAAACCGGAGAATGACTGGGATCAGACAAGACCAGGGAGCATATTATCTAGCCAGGATCATGCATTGGTAGCAAGAAAGTAGAGGCATTGATACCTCCTACTGCATATCCTATTTTCTGATTACCATCTTGATGTGACAAGATGATTTCCTACTACGAGATCCAAGATGCCCATCCCGTCTCGCCTCCCACATACCAATCTCTCAAGGGCCATGAGCAAATCTCCCAACAACCTATCCAGGACCCAGAACTTGCCGCGGAATACTGGACCGACCTCTTTTCCCATGTTGGAGCGCAACCCCAACTCCATTCCTTCCCTCTCGATCACCAATGGCCACGATCTGAGACTACTATCCGGGCCCCTGAGCATCTTCTCGAAGCGGCATTAGACTTTAGTGAGAGATACAGCATTCGACTAGATGACTTGATCTATGGGATATGGGCCCTGGTATCTATTCGACACACGGCGGGTGGCCACCGCACCGCTATCTTCACGGTAGCCGGACGAGACCGGTCCTTCTTCGGACCAGAGTGCACCCAGCAGGAGCTAGAAGACCAAGAAGACTTCCCCCTGGTTCTATCCGTGCCAGAGGATATGGAAGCTCTATCATGGATCCGACACGTTGGTGCCGCCAGTGCTGAAGCAGCCACGCACTCGCACCTGGGCTACAAGCAGATCCTCACGCAAACAGGCGCCGCTCCGCCGCAAGTCAAAGTGTCTATTATACCTGATGACAGTGAAGAGGTGATGACAACCGATGCTGACTTTCCTCTCGTGCTGAATCTGTCGGCATCCTCTGGGCTGAAGCTGAGCATGCGGCATAATCTGGCCGTGCCGCGGACCAACGTCCGAGTACTCCTTGACCACTTTGCTGCTACGCTGCAGCAGGTGGTTGAGAAGCCGTCAGTAAACATTGCAGCAGTGAGTTTGACATCTCCAGCTGAGAGACAGCTACTCCATGAATACGGTAAGGCTGCCATCCGGTCCCGTCGCGGGCTGGTGCACGCCTTGGTTGAGAAACAGGCCCGGCTGAGACCAGACGCTCACGCCGTTCAATTCGAGCTGGATGCTCCCCTTCCCTACGGCACATTGAATAAACGCGCAAACCAGTTGGCCCGGTTACTGCGCTCATACGGTGCAACTTACATTCCCGTGCACATGCGCACGTCGACTGACTTCATCGTTGCCCTGCTGGCTGTCCTGAAGGCTGGCGCTGCATACGTGATCCTGGACCCCGATGCACCGGCCAGCCGCAAGTCCTTCATAGTGGAGGATGTCCAGGCAGACTTCGTTCTGGTGGACTCAGACACTGCGGGTGAATTTCCTCGCGAGCACAAGGTCCGCGACTTGCTGAGCGAGTCCATGGGCAACGACAACAGCGACTTGTCTCTCGATAAAGACGTCAGCTCTCTGGCATATGTGATCTACACCTCCGGGTCAACAGGCAAGCCCAAAGCAGTCCTCCTAGAGCATCAAGCCGCGTACAACGGTCTCCTGGCCTTCCCCAAGATGCTTGACTTACGCCAGCTACTCTTCTTTAACCCCGTCTTCTCCGCAGCCCAGCGCTCCATGTGGGCCACACTCAGCGTCGGAGGATGTCTGTGCCTGGCCAGCAAGGCTAATTTGACCGTCCATCTGGCCAGAACCATCAACAGCATGCACATCACCTCCGTCGACATGACCTCGACCACAGCATCTCTTCTCTCACCGGACAACGTGCCCTCACTACGCCGAATGGTCCTAGGCGGCGAGCTGGTAAACCCAGCAGTGGTACAAACCTGGTCGCATCGCGTCGAGCTACTGTCTTCATACGGCCTCAGCGAATGTACACAGCTCAACTGGCGCTACAGACTCCAAGATACCCAGAGCTCATCCCGCATCATTGGTCAGCCCTTCGACACCACAACCTCCT